ATGGATTTGCACCGAATGACTACCCGTAGCTATCACACCTCAATTATGATTAAGCACGCAACTCGTTTCACAGGTGATCAAAGAAACACCTCATGTGATAGTTGTCTGATGCTTACTTTCACAAGAGTAGCTCTTACAAGTAGTTTTAAATGATCATTATGATGAGCTCAACCAAACTAACCAGTAGAATCCACAAAACATCAATTTATTAATCCAACGACAAATTATTCAAGGAAGGTCCTTGGGATGAACCTACATACTGCTATGCCTAAATGCAAGATAATTCTAATATGCGACACAATATATATACAAATGCAAAAGACGCAACATGCATAGGTATTATATAGCACACATTCCTAAGAATTTCCTTAGTGACAAAAAGCGAATTTTTTATTTATATAAAAATAAAAAAAATTAAGTGGACAAAAATAAAAAAAAAAGTAGAAAAAAATCAAAATCACGTATTCTGGGAATACGTTTTCTAATAGTAAACGTATTCTCTAAATACGTTTTTAGAAAAAAAACGTATTACGTAAATACGTTTTACTAAAAAAATTTAATTAATGCAATTATCGTAATTAAGTGTGAACCGTCTGGTTATGGATGAACTTAACTATGATCGTAAGGCTCTAGCTAATGAGCATGATGAATTGCTGACACATATGACCGATGAACAGAAGGGTGTTTATTCCAGAATAATGACATCTGTTGATTCCGGTAGGGGCGGCGTGTTTTTTGTTTATGGTTATGGTGGAACTGGCAAGACATACTTGTGGAAGACTTTAGTTGCTGGACTAAGATCGCGCGGTCGAATTGTTCTTTGTGTTGCATCAAGTGGAATAGCATCTCTCATGTTGCCGGGCGGTCGCACTGCACATTCTCGATTTGGCATTCCTCTTTCTGTGCATGAAAATTCATCGTGTGATATCAATCAGGCTAGCTCCCTTGCAGAGTTGATTATTCGCTCTTCACTGATCATATGGGATGAGGCCCTTATGATGCACAAGCATTGTTTTGAAGCTTTTCAAGCTTCTTTTAAGGCAATAATGGGAGCAATCGACCCGAAAAATCATCATAAACCGTTCGGAGGTAAGACTGTTGTGTTTGGCAGAGACTTTCGACAAATCCTTCCGGTAGTTCCAAAGGGGAATCGTCAGGAGATTGTTAATGCTGCTATTAATTCTTCTACCATTTGGGGAGACTGTACTGTGCTTAGACTTACAAAGAACATGCGTCTTCAGAGCATTGGCGATTCGAATGAACGTGATGAGCTAGCCGCTTTTGCTGATTGGATAGTGAGCATCGGAGATGGCACATTGGGGGGTACAAATGATGGATGTGCTCCGATAAACATACCAGATGATCTATTACTAGAACCATCCGATGATCCAATTGCAAAAATTGTTGAAAGCACGTATCCGATGTTCAAGAATGCAACAGATGATCCAAGTTACTTGAAAGATAGGGCTATACTCGCGCCAACACTCGAGATTGTAGAATCTATAAATGCATACATGTCGTCGTTGAATTTGACTGAAGGACACACGTATTTAAGCTCAGACAGTACGTGTAAATCTGACTCCAATACCGACTTTCTGGCACAACTCCATACTCCTGAGTTCTTGAATACTATCATGTGTTCTGGAACACCGAATCATGAGTTGAATTTAAAGGTCGGAACTCCAGTTATGTTGTTGCGGAACATGGATCACTCAATGGGACTCTGAATGGTACACGATTGGTTGTGACCAAACTCTCCAATCATGTTCTCGAGTGTAAAATTCTTACTGGCGATCATGCAGGTGATAAAGTTTTGATACCTCGAATGACCATAACTCCTTCGGATGTTAGAGTACCATTCAAATTCCAAAGAAGGCAGTTCCCCATTATGGTTTCGTATGCAATGACTATAAACAAGAGTCAAGGTCAATCCTTATCTCATGTTGGCTTATTCTTGAAGAAACCAGTTTTTAGTCATGGTCAGTTATATGTCGCTGTCTCCCGTGTTACTAATAGAAAGGGTCTCAATATTTTAATTTGTGGAGAAGAAGGTTTGAAAGCAAATCAAACCAATAATGTTGTGTATAGAGAAGTGTTTAATAATATATGATTTTTTTTTTGTGTACTTTGTATTTCTCTCTATTTTTTTCTATTACAATCAAATTATTAATTTATAATAAAAAATATTAAATATAGTTTAGACAAAAATGTTTGAGGAAATAACCCCACCGTACTGCGCACCGGTACTACATTATGTTTCCGAAAAAAGTATACAGTCTGTGCATCGCACGGGTTACGTACTAGTATAATTTTATCAAACATGGTTTGTTCCTGATAATTTGTTCATATATTGTTCAATATTTTTTATAATCATTTATTAGTGAAAGATTATATTTTTTAATCACTTTTTAGGGAAAAAATTTCAATTAAAAATAATAAAAATATTTTTTCAGAATTATTAGATATATAAAAAAATAGTTATCAGAATTATAAAAGTAATCAATTGTTGTTTAAAATTACTTATTTCCATGGACGAGAAATGCTCACATGCCCACGGTCATGTTAATATGCTCACCGCTGATGTGACATGCACACATTGGTGATATTAATATGTTAAAAGAATATATTATCAATGTGTGCATGCCACATAAGTCGGTGGACATATTAACATGTGCCTAGACATGTGAGCATTTCTCTCCATGGACTATATCATTCAATATTAAATGAAATGGATAAACATATTGATATGAACGACAGAAATCCATGTTAATCCATAGAAAACCACATGTATATATAGTGTATGCTTTAGCGTGCGATTTGATAGCAGATATTTTTTTTAAAACATATTTTGAACGGTTTATTTTGTATGAAATAAACAATTATTATAAAAGATTTTTTTAACAACTTTTCACTGTCACACCGATTGCAAAATATAAGATCAAATCCAGAACAACTCAATATAAGTTAATTTTGACGAATTTATAAATACCTTACGGAAACAGTACATACGGAAAATATCAAAATATACCATACCTACTTATTGAAATATCTAAAACTTTTTTAGATATTCAAATATTAAATCAAAATTTGCCTTTCATATATAAGTATTCTAAAAGTGGATATTTCTAACTTATATATATTAACTATTTTTCATATGGAATCTAGATTATAACAAGAATAATATCATACTGTATTGAAATTGTATAATGACTGAAAAACTAAACGTTCAATACAATGCCTTTTGGCAAAACTAGAGCTATCAAGAGAGAAATTTGTTTGCACCATGTTATTTTAAAGGCAAAATTGCATTTTATACCCTGTAACTAGGAGTGTGTGACAGATGTGAACAACTTTTTTTTGATTTGGCAAAAGTGCCCTGAAACATGTTAAAACCCGAAATTTGTGCCCAATTTGGGCACAAATTTTGAATTTTAACAAGTTACTGTCCTATTTTGCCACACGAAAAACCGGTCAAATCCGGTAATTTGTAGGTAAATTGGGCACAAAATCTGGGTTTTAACAAGTTTCAGGACACTTTCGCCAAACAAAAAAGAAGTTGTTCACATTTGCCACACACGCATAGTTACAGGGCACAAAATACAATTTTACCTATTTTAAAAGAGTATATTAGATAAAGAAAATGCAGTCATTTTTTAAATGGTTGATTATAGGTTTTGGTTGAGAACTGTACTCGAACTTTACTTTCTGCAGGATGTACTAATTAAAAAGAATTGATAGGAGACTAATGGTTGAGTATAAATAATATTTTAACATATATATTTATTTTTAATACAAAATGTTACAGTTCTGTTTGGTCTACAAAAGCATAAGTTTATTTTTTAAAAAAATAAATTGTTTAATTCTACAATATTAATACTATTAACGAACATGTTTATTTCAAAAGTATATCACAGAAATATGTGAGTAAATTATACACTTTGTTGCACATACAACACACTTATGTTATGAACAAATTTGTTTCATTTCATCTTATTCACATAAAATATACAGTGAAAGAACATTAACGCTGCTTCCAATATATAGTGAAAAAACGCTGCTTACAGGAAGTTTTGCACATAACCGCTGCTTCTAAACCCACTGAAATTTGTTACAGGGGATGGCCATACAATTTTGTTTTTCTTTTAATTAATAAAAGACTTAATCCCGTCAGTTACAAGATTTTTGGCATGGTAAATATTTATTTTGTTGGCCGTTTAAAATTTATAGTAGTTATTTAAATAATTATGTTAAGTTAAGTATACTTGTAAATAATTTTTATTTTTATATTTGTGTAATATTTTTAAAATCACTAACGCATGCATGTAAATTGGCCAAAATAAAAACACCATTGGGTTGGCTTAGTTTTATCACTCTTAATTATTTAACGAAAAGGAATTTTGGAATTTCGGTATTGACTTTATTTAAAAAAAAATGTCGATTTTTTTACATGCTCAACTAACAAGAAACAGTATTTTGAATTGACCCCGTGCTGCTTGACCATACAAGATGTCCTAAACCATTGAGCTCAAATATTAGTTTATTTAAAGTGGACAATTTGATTTGATAGGGATCAAGTAAACTAGAAACGTTTATATAGAAAACAATGATGCACATGTCAACATGTGGTTCCATGGTCTAGCGGTTAGGACATTGGACTCTGAATCCAGTAACCCGAGTTCAAATCTCGGTGGAACCTTTTTCTTCATTTTTTTCATTTTTCTTTTTGTTTTTCTCTGCTTCAACAGTTTTTTGTTTTTCCTATTTTCAGTGCCTCAAATAAACTTTTACCCGAAAGGTATTTTTCACTATCTTTTAGCTTGGTAAGGGAAAAGAAAAAAACATCAGTGTAAATTGACAATTAACTACAATATATTTATAGAAAGTGATAAAAAAAAATTATGTAGTAATTTAATTAATTATGTTCTTAACTTTGGTTCAATTCATAGGAAACCTAACAGAAAACGTGCATTAAAAAAACAAAAGACAGAATTTTGGTGTAGCACAAAATCAAACCGAGATTTCGATTTGGATTTCTTGTAATTATAAGTAGCACAAGGCCGTGTAATTAATACTTGAACTGATATCATTAGAAACAAGACTACAAGAGTACATCATAACATCGAGCCTGATACAAAATTTTAGCTCAAAAGTCATACAGATTTTTCAATTCCAACAACAGGTTTCACAAAAACCTTGAGAGGCTAAGTACTTACTAAAGCATTTACAGCCGAACACACAACAGACTCAGTAATATACCGAATTAGTACAGCTGATTATTACATGCAGAAGGTTAAAAACAAAACACAGAAGGTGAAAGTTGGCCAGCGAGTTGGGGGAATTTACTGCATTTTCCTTCACAAGTGTTACTTCAGTTAAGAACCATATCCGAGTCCGATCCATTGTCCTTTGGAGACTGAAGGCACAACATGAAGGCAATTATATTCTCATTTGGTATGTAGAGAGAAAGGAAGAAAACCAACTATCTTCACAATTAGAAATAAATACTCCCATAAGACAGAAACAAATATAATTGCAAAAACAGAAACAAATGTTATGGGATGGTAGTTAAACAGAAACAAAATATGTATTTTGAAAGAGTTCCTTTTGTAGTTAAACTAAACCTTGAATGCATTATTTTATTATGAAACCGTATTCTGAATAAAACGAAACACCTTAATACAAGTAACAGACTTAAAGACGAACATATATTTCATTATATTTTCACCAACAGTTTATAATTTTGTCCTTTGAACTTTGAGGTTAAGGAAATAATATTAAATCAGTCAAACCTTTCCTTAGACAATACTTCCAAGTTCCGATCATATAGATGAGGCAATACGAACTCGTATTTCTTTTTCCAGTTTGGTGATAATTTAATGCATCTTTTAGTCTCAGCAACAAAGTTAAGAACTGCACAACAGCCTACATACCAATATCATAATACAATATTTTAGGCCCCCTTAATCATAAAACGGTTCTGATACCTGAGGCGAATGCAATGAGCTTTGCGAGAGAGACTGAAGAATCTCTTTCTTTTTCATCTCATGGTTTAACTTTGCATGGTCCAATAGCATCTGCTCTCTTTGCATGTCACTCAAAGCTTGATCCTTTTGCCATTGTGTCTCTTTCATTTTTCTTTCAATCTCAAAGTAGCTCTCACGGTTGGACAAGTTTCCAGAGCCATTTGGGAATTTCACACCTATCTTTGCCCTTAAACCCAAAAAATCAAGTCCAATATCAGGATACAAGAAAACTAGAAGAGATAATGCAAAACCAACCTCGAACATTTACATGCTTTCCAAAAACACCAGCATCTCTCAAAATGGCAAATCATATCCATTCCATTAATGAAATGGTGTGTATCTACACTGCCCAAAGGTAAAAGATTTTT